ACACTTTGTTATACCAATTTGACTAGAAAAATATAATTTGTAAATACATGTTGGTAAATAAATAGATACCTGCTATGTGTACGAAATGAAAGCAGAGGGTAAAATGAATATTCCGAAAACCACCTAAATTGCATTATCGCTATAATAATTATTTCATTGTGCTAATATTTTTAGCCGTATACATTCAACTTTTGCTCGCTACAAAAATACGACCCTTTTTAAGGCTAAAAAAACATTGATGGAATTAAATTTGTTTCGAGCATAAAATATTATAACCACGCGAACTGAATTCATTACAAGTATAATGGATATTGCATTTAAAATATGTACGTATGACATATGTATTTTATCTCCATACTTATGTAGTAGTTTTATCTGCAAATAAATGTGTCGAAATGTAATACTGCATGTCTGTAACATGTACTGCAAATATAATAAATTGATTTCCATTACTAGAATATTGAATATATTTTTTTATTTTTATGAATTTTTTATGCAGAAGCTTATGTAGGTAGCCCGTAGTTCAGGCTCTACATAAAACTTAACGAAACTAGTAATTTATTTATTGCTGAACAACGATTTTATTTACAGGTATAAATATAAATTGTATTTATATAAAAACATTCTATGTATTATGCTTTTTCTTGAAATAAATCTTTTAAAATCGTTGTTCGTGCCGAGTCATCGTGATGATGTACTAACACATTTTGATATTGTTTATTTATTTATATAAACTATATTTTATTTTTTCTATAAACTCAATAGTTCTACAACTGAGTTGTATATTGATACTAGAGCATCGATGTAGGGTGTCATGACATAAGCTTGAAATATCAATCAAATGTATATTTTATTATTTTCAATATATAAGTGCAATTCAAACAGATGATTGTTGTAGAAATAAGAAAACTTTTCTACCCCTTTCAATGGACTACAATACACGAAAAGTTTTTGTTTGAAGACAACAGCGACAATGCCATTTTTATAAGAAATAAGTATTATCCTCTAAATCGTAAAATTATATATATAACTAAGAACAAAAGGCAAAAAACAAAAATCATTTTTCCACCTATGCAACGTGGTAGGTAATAAAAACTCTAAGTGCAAATTAATAAAATATTAAGAATAGTTTATACTTCATAGCTTAGATAATAGGTATACCTTTATAAGATATTTTATAAAGTTTTCACGTTTTATGTCAAAATCTATCATAAGATTCATAAAAAAAATTTAGGAATTTTAAAAATGTAGATACCTATTGGATATTACCAACCAACCATTATAATTCATTAACTTTACTTTAACGTCAATTTATGACCTTTTTGATAGTGATATCTTAAACACCTGATGCATAATATGCTTCGTATCCATCATAATCCTTAAGCACACAATGTTTAGTCTGAATAAATATGGTTTACTGTATGCATGAGTATGACACATGTTCAAATACTTTTAATCATTTATTGGAAATTAAATTTCATCAATGAAAATGAAAACTCAAAATAAAATATGAACATTTTATTTATAATGCATAATTAATATCGATCTATTTAATGAATATAGATATACAAAATTTTAAAATCGATTCAATTGAATTTCATATTTTTTTTTTTTGTAAATAATAATAACCACACATTGAAGTTCAATAATATATTATTACGTTCAACATACATACTTTTAATTTGATAAAAGTACATTTTTTCGTTCGTAAAACAATAATAAATAATTGGTATCTATTTAATTAAACTGATACAATAACCAATCAAGTTTTAAAAAATTTAAATTTGAATTGATAATTTGTTTTAATAATCGAACGAACCCTAAAGGGCTAAAAATACTTTGGCGATAAAAATACAACAAAAATGTCTTTCGTCGTATTTTGTGATGAATTATTTCCACTCATTGTAATAATAAATCGCTATATTAATAATAATAAGACAATTTAATTTATATCGACACATTAAAAATAAAAATAATATGCAATATTAATAAACACTTAAATAGGTTAAAGCTTTCTTTTATTAGTAGTATAATAAAATTCTTAAGTACCTACCTATTTAAAAATAGTTTTAAATTAATATTGTGTCTTTCGAGTGTATTATTTGTTTTAATCTAATACTTAAAAGTACAATAATTAATAATGAAATAACTTAAAAAATTTTAAACAAGTAGGTACTCAATAAGTATTTAACAACAATAGAATATCATGTTTATCTAAACATTCGACTATCTAGTCGAATTAAAGTTTTGTTTATATTAATATACTATACATAAACGTTTGCAAAATAAACTCACTGTGCATTTAACATTTAAACTAATATTGAGTAGGTACATTGTTTGTATATTTAACTCGATATGGTTCCCATACGAACAATCAATAATATATTATTTAATTAAATAGTATTTTTTTTTTTTGAAGTTTTCGGTTTTCTTTTACCTTTTCGCCGATAAAAAACGTATTGACGTATCAATAATTAATTGACTCACTTTCATAAAAACCATAGTGAAATGTGAAACTAAATTTAAAAAATACAGCCTATTATATCCGAAAAACGACTAAATAATATTAAATTCGTGTATGTTTTTTGAAAGTTTGTCGTTTAAAATATGCACGTAGTATAGTGGTAACCACCTACGTAACGTTTCATAACAGGTAAATTTCATTTTAACAGCGTCCTATACTATAATCCAGACTATAGAAGCACATTTAAATTACATAAAATAATCTATGTATAAAATAGCAATCTTATACTTTAAATGTAATTTAAGGTTAAAGGAATTTTAATTCGGTCCATATTATATTTTTTTATGCTCAAACATTTTCTTAACTTAGCGGTTTTATTCAAAATTAAATAAATTATACAAACAAAACAATTGTATTTAATGTAATTATGAAGTTATAACACATAACACTAAAAAAACAATAAATTATGAAGAACAACTCAAGAAAATAAAAAGTACCTATATATAGTGATATTTAACTTGATGATCAATAATAATAAATATATCTAAATTTTTTTTCTTATATCGATGTATTTTCAACCATCTTATTATATTATAACATAGTCCAAAAACTATATGATTTGAAAAATGTTTGATCCATCACATCAACATTTAGAACTACATTTCTACTTGAAGCAACACATTAATGTTTGCAATTTTCAATACACTATAAGTCTATACTTCAGCATTATTAAAAATAATAGATATTTAGGTATTTTCAAAGTGTGCGACGAGCAAATAATAATACCTTTTCAAATTAGTTTCATCCTAGGATGTCACATTATTTAAATAAAACCACGAGTAATTTTTGCCAACAAATATCGACAATTAGTGTGTATAAAAGTCACACAATTAAATATTTTAACTGTAGGTATAGGAAAAAAATGTATTATAAGAAACCAATATAGACTATAGTTATTTAAAATAAATATTTCTTATCACGTTAGTTTGTTTAAAAACCCATTACAAAGTTGTATAGAAAGCTACTCAAAACGCGTTGTTACCTCGCTAACATTTCATCACTAATACATTTTAGATTCTTAGAGAAGCGATCAATGTACTGGTACTACATTGATATTCTTTTAATTCTGAGTGAAATGATGAATGTATTGGTTTTATGATGATGTAGGTTAATTTTTGGTTTGAAAATACTTTTTAAAGTAGAAAAAATACTTCAATTTTGAACTTCAATATATTTTTTGGTAGGAAAGTGAATCGAGTTACCAACTTAGGGACGATCATTTTATTAATTGTTAAGAAAAACAAAAAAACAATTGAGGAAAAGTGGGTCCTTGAGCTACCTACTAGTATTTATAAACATTTGATTTTTTCGATTTTTTTACTTTTAACGTCGATAAAAAAATGTTCATTCTAATTCGAAAAGTTCGAAAATTTAATACTAGGTTCCTCGTAAGTACAGTTTATAACGAAATCAAAAAATCTAAAAATATGGTACTCATTTGATTATTTTTTGTACAAACATTTAAAGTTTAAAATCAGCCAAAACTCGATGTTTAAATTAAAAGAACAATTTTAGTTATTTTTAATTAATTAATTATTTATTTACAAGGAAAATAATCCATTTATAATAAAAATTGGTTTTTTGTATATTGTAGTGATCTGTCGCCCACAGGTGTTGTTTTGAGGAATATGAAAAATATAATAAATAAATAAAATACGCATTTACATTATCATTTACACGATTTTGTTATAAATTAAAAATATTATTCATGAGGACTTGAAACTTTTACGTAGGTATATTATTACATTTTATTTGGATACACAATGATATTTTCAAAACATCTTGATTAATTTATGCTATTGCCTACTTATACCACAAACCTTCTAAGGTAAGTCGGTTTCAACTCTTTATAACAATAAGATATGATATAAATGCATACCATTATAATGATTAAATATTGATTTATTATATATAATATTATCAATGTAATGTCTTCGCTCTGATAAGTACGATTTTAAATTAAAATGTAACTCATACATTGCCGTGTCTTAATCAATGACGAGATACACACGACATCTTCAACAGCGCAATAGAGTGATTAGCTATCTTTTCCCCTTTTTAAATATGTATTTATTATATTAATCGCACATAAGCCAATTACATTGAAGGGGGTCGAGAGTGTATGGAAATTGTCATGCAATGGATGATAAATTCGATACATGAATTTTTATTATTTTTAATAAAATGAAATATAAGTTTGTTTTTAATCCATGAAAGACATTGATCAATCGTATGTTACAACAATAGTTTACAAATTTAAAAGCAATACAGTAGAACCTCGATTATCCGAACTTCCGTAGTACGAACCCTCTATTACACAAAAGCTCTGTTATCCGAATTTTATCAAAAAAATATCATAAACATATGTTCCTATGTACTTTGTGAATATATATTTCAAAATACATAATACAATCCTAATATTATAATAACATCAAAAATAATGTACTTAAAAAAAACGATTAAAGGAAACACTCACTTGGTGGGTCGTCTATTACGGCTTCGCACATTTTTCTTCGTTTAGCAATAACTTGATGCAGAATATGATTGTCCTGGATATTAGACAATCCATATTGATAATCAGCCATCGTCAACTGCAAACAAAATAAATTTATACTTTCTTTTATATGGCATATGTTTACCTTTTTCGGCATTTAAAGCATTGTTTTTAATTTAATTGAATTCCCTACATTCAATAAATTGATTGGTAAATGCCTTAAAATGATACGAATCATATATTATAAATTATAATATATAATATTTATTACCCATCGCTTTAAAAGTCAATAAATGAATAAAATTCGAATAATTTATAAGTTACGAACAATAAAATTAATGACTACCTACTATGTCAAACTCTTATTTGATTTTCAATTCAAAAAAGCCAAGTAAAAATGTTGATTGGCGCATGCAAATTAATAGGTACCTACATCAGTTTATAAAAAATTATAACCAATACCAATTCTAACATACAGCAAAAATGACATTTTAATTAAACAAAACATGTGTAGCCTTCTACCAACCAAATGATAATATTGAATTATACCATATAAAATATTAAATTAGACTAATATACTAATCTCGACTTTAACTATAACTTTACCTCTTGTGATGATATTGCCATGTTTATATAAATTATATCAAATTGAAAATTTTACAAAATCGCATATTGATCACGAAATAAGATTACACATTTACCTATATTTATTACTGAATCTAATAAATACATTGTAAAACAATGTATATGATATCATTTTTTTTTTTTAATGAAGTGGTTGTTAAATTATTATGATTATTTTCGTGGACGTTATGAACTAATTATACTTAACTTTTATATGAAATAATTATACCTATGTAGATACCTACTCCACTTATTTATTAAAACGAATAATTGCTAATACAATTTCTATATCTATTATATTATTTTCATAAGTTCTTTAGTATTATTTTAGATGTTTTGGAATACATAAACTGTGAAAAAGGAATTCAAGAATTGTTGTCTTTGATCAAATATTTATTAAAATTAAAACAAAACAATCCCTGTTTAGTTCCTACATTTTTAAGACACAACAGAATAATGGGTTTTAAACAAGAAAACGCATAACGAAAATATTAATGTTCTATAACTATATGTTCATTATACCTATTCGTATTAATTTACGAAAACATTGGATACGTACGGGACAGTACAAAAATAATCAAGTGCATTTCAAAAATAAAGTAGGTACTAATATCTCATGGTAACTGCAGGGATTAAAGTGGGGGTGGCGCAGGAGGACTCAGTCCTCCTACCTCTAACTGCGATTAAAAATCGTCCCCTTTAACAAATTGGGATTTTATACATTAGACATTAAACATAAAATTATTTATGGAACGCTTAAGACTATATGTAGACATTAGCCCCCCCCCTGGAATTTGTTCTCACTTTAAACCATGGGTAACTGGTAAGTATATATCAGACATAATGATAATATATTTTAACATTCATCATATAGATCAGTCATAGATTGGTAACTTCGATATTTCAACTACAATAATAATTTATAATAAATTATTATTATAATGAGAACAACTGCGTTTAAATAATTTTCAATCACCATTAAAATAATCATATGATCGCCCTTTCGTATGACACACCTTGTTGACAGAAAAATATAGCTTTGGCTTAAGTCGGATAACTGTCACGACTCACGAAGCGCGCCTAATAGCGTCCATCAGCGTCTATTCGGCCATTTTCCACCTCGTCCATTATACGGTCACGTGTAAAGCTATATTGTGATAGTCCATTAGGTTTTACCTTTCTATTTTCCGTCCGATTCAGCTATATTGTTCGCGGCGGATTGTTATTCCTTTTTATTATTACGTTCCTCTGCGATTTGTTTTTTCTCTGTGCCCTAAATTTCCACGGATCCGTTATGTATGCCCGCTTGCGATAATATACGTTCAGTGTTCACCTAGCCATTGTTCAGGCGGTAATCCGCTGAAACCACATATTATATTATACCCTATATTATATTCCATTATCTGATACGACTGAGGCGAACAATATTGAATCTCAAGTGTTCCTCGTGTATATTGTAAGCTCTCAAATTATTTATCGTTACCGTTCATACTGAAATTAAAATTACACCAAATTACTGGTGTTTGTTTTCTAAAGTGATTCTTCAACCCTAAGAGAAAAATTAAAAAAGTTTGAGGCACACATATATTTATATATATTATATAATTAACATTTTACACCCCCTAACTAAGAAACACTTTATGAAATAATCGACAAATCTAGAAAAAAGGTAATATTAATGGCATGGATATTATATATTTTTTAATTTTTTAAATGAATACACGGGTATTAATTTATGAGTAAAACAATGATATTTATAACGATAAGTACTTAGAATAATTGTCCTTTACGGCTTTACTTGACACTATTAATTAATAAGGTAGTTTTAAATTTAAAAAAAATCATAGGTATTATATTAAAATAATCAAACAGTTATTTACGAATAAATACGATATTAAGATTGAGTTTAACGGGTTGAGTAAATCAATTACATTTAAGATTTATAGTCAATACAATATTCACCAGACATTATTTTTAAATAAACCACTGCCACAAAATAAAATATGTATACATATATATTTGGCATGAACATTTTAAATGGCAATTCACATCACAGTTGCATTACATATAAAAAAAAGAATGGAAAAATAAATACTTCAGTATCCAAAAGGAATTTAAAAGGCAATAATAATGGTCAACAATGTTGTTTTCTGTTGCAACAAGATAAATCGTTAATACGAATAAGACAAAAACGATATTTGCGAAACCTAATTAAAAGTTAAGAATTGAAAACTGTTATAATAAAATGATTTATATACAATTTATTTCACCCTCAAAATAATCAAATATTGAAATGTCACAATAAAAAAAAAATTACATTTTTGAATGATTTTATTTTAAAATGTTCACATTGTTTGCTTACGACTATAAAAATTATTTTGTGGAAAATATCAAATAAAAATACAATTTAATGATTTATTAATAAATATACTTAAATCAAAATTAAATTATCTAATATTACTTTTGAATACTTATTATAATGGTATATGAGTTATTTATTCCAAAAATTGTTTTGTGTGATACCACTGAACTATACTAACTTGTTATATTACTTAGGTAGGCACCTACCTATATAAAAACTTAAAGGTTAAAATGCGATAATCGGCTAAAATGTACAACACAACCATGATCAGATTAAACGTATTTTGACAACAGCTATAACTAAATAGTTATAGGTAAATACTCATATTTGAAAAAAGCAATCTATCAGATAAACATTAACAACCTGCCTACCCTATTAGTTCTCAATTGATATATTGCTTCCTTTATTTAATATGTATAAAAGCCATTTCGAATTCTTAATATGATTTTTGGATTTAAATGAGCAGTATTTTTTACTTAACATTTTACACCCATTAACCAGCTAAATGATCAGATAATTTTTACCTGTCTATTTTATGCCAATGCAAGTTACATAAAAATTAATTTTCTTTTCCCCGTGGTTATTTTTAGAAAACAATATATTTCCTGTCGGTCATACACTACCACGGCAGGTCATTTTTTTACTGACTTTTTGTTTATTAATTAATGTGGTATCGATTTAATTTAATATATTTAAAGACTTCGTCATAATTAAATCACCTATAGTTTACGATACTTTTTATATTTTAAACATTTTTATTTTATTTTACACCAATTAAAATAGTTTCAATACGATATTTATGTACAAACATGGTTTAGTAATATTTAACTTAGTTAGATAAGTAAACAAGTTTAAACACATGCCTACCTTAAAGTTCTCATATACATCACAAAACGCATTTTTCGTTGAATTTCGACGTTATTTTATGTCTAGATAGAAACACAATCATTTTCCATAAATAAAAAAAACTGAACGTCCACTACACCTTATAAGTTAAATTATACTTTTTTTCTATACAACAGTTTGATACAAGTAAAAGTTTTTGTTTTTGTTTTTTATTATTCATAAAGTAAATTTTTCAATATTACATATACCAAAATTATGTACTTTTTATCCATTATATATTTATATATTATTAATAATTCAAAAAACTGAAAAACTTATCGTACAAAGTATTCCATTGATATAAGTACCTACTTTTCTTATATCTTTTCATCATTTTGCAACAACTTTTGCAGTATAATTGTTGACCTTAATTTGTCTCATTCAGTATTATTGTAGTGTTTTATTAACTTCCCAGCATGTTCCGCAGTACCATTAACAACTTTTAAACTATTCATTATTTTTCAACCGTTATTTAATAATCAAATTAACTTTTCACGAATAAGATGGTCATTTTCAAGACAACTTTTATGATTGATATTATATATTGTGCATAGACACTCCGTTTTCCTAGACACAAAATGTTCGATCATATTCTTTCTTATACACACGGCTCTGTCAAAACAATTACGTAATGAACAATATTAACAGTTTATGTTATGATATATTTACAATACAGTTTGAAGATTATAATATATATCTTAAAATTAAATAATTAAATAAATCTAAAAAAATTCATATTATTTAATATTTATATAACCCCATTGTTTTCACTTGAACACTAACTTTAAAAGTACGAGAATATATAGTACTTCATAATGGCTTAATAACTAATCGCCCTACTTGATTATTAAACTAATTTGCAAATTATAGTATTTACTTAGATAAAAATTAAACTGAACAATTAATTAAAAAATCGGTCAAAAACTAACCTTAAATTACTGTAAAAGTGAACGACTTTAATATAATTTTTTTAATTTACATTCATATCTTTTATATAATACCTTACTAATCTACAATATTTACTCACAGTTATAAAATTATGAAAATAACGCTTTCAACAGCCAATTGTGTTTATCAGTATATTCTGTCAACAATCGTTTGTTGACAACCACCGATTTATCCCTATCGAGTAATCAAAAGTTTTTTTCATATAAAATGACCCGTGAACGATGTTTAATGAGATTTTTCTATAGAAATATCATAAATCCGAGAATAGTGTTATAGGA